TGTCCCGGCTGCTTCCCTGCGTTTCTTTTTAAAACTATGACAACCTTTGTTCTAACACCTGTCTCAAGGCATCATCGCTGGTTGTCAGTGCCTCCGTCTCCCTGACTCCTCCTTTTCCCCTCCCCCCCAGGAGGGGCCGAGTGTCTTGATATCTCTGTTTCTCCAAACTCTATCATGGGGTTCAAGAAACGTTCCGGTGAATAAGAGTAAATAAACAAATGAACCAATAGGATTTCTATGGAGGGGAAGTGACGTTTAAAGGGAACAATATTAAATTCCCACGTTGTTGCAAGGTTTAATGTGGCCTCAGGCTTTCTGCAAGCCCCACGCAGGCTTGGAGCGGGGTCCTGAGCGAGAGAGGAAGACCTCGGCCGAGGAGGGAGCGAGACCGCGGCCGCGCGCCCTGCAGGCGCCGCCAAAACTACAACTCCCAGAAAGCTGCGCGGAGGCGGAGGGAGAGCCGCGGGGACTTCCGGACGTGACGTCAGGGCCGTGCGGAAGGGGAAGCGCGGCGCCGCGGAACGTGTAGGTTGCGGGCTGAATGGAGACGCCGAGGAGGGCGAGAGGGGTGGCGAAGCGGCCCTAAAGGTAGGTGAGACGGAGCGCGGTGGCGCGGGGCGGAGTGGGTCCCAGGTGGAGCGGCGTTCGCGAGGTGGAAGGACCGCGAGCTCTGTTTCTCTTCCCGCAGCACCATGACGAAATTAGCGCAGTGGCTTTGGGCACTGGCGCTCTTGGGCTCCGCCTGGGCCGCCCTGACCACGGGAGCCCTGGGCCTGGAGCTGCCTTTGTCATGCCGGGAGGTCCTGTGGCCACTGCCTGCTTACTTGCTGGTGTGCGCCGGCTGCTATGCCCTGGGCACTGTGGGCTATCGCGTAGCCACTCTTCACGACTGCGAGGATGCCGCCCGTGAGTTGCAGAGCCAGATCCAGGAGGCTCGAGCCGACTTAGCCCGCAGGGGGATGCGCTTCTGACACCCTAACCCCTTTCCCGCCCGGACGGCCTCCCGTCTCATCCCCCATTAAAGAGCGAGTGTACTTCCTAACTTCGTTTAGTTCGAGTGTGGAGAATGGGAATGGGGAGTTCCGTGTACCAGCCGTGAAAGGCGGACGAGGAGGCAAAGATCCCTTCTCAGGACGGGAATGGCGTTTCACTTTTACGGTCCTTTTAATCCTGTCAGGAAGTTCTTCTTGAAGCCTAACTTACATTCTCCTTCATAACTTCCGAGCTCTGTTCTTTTTAAGGCCTTCCAGGTCTTGCCCAGGTTGCTCTGGTTCTTGCAGATACCTTTCTAAGCCAGTCCTACCAGCCCGAGAATCACTGAATCAGGCGGTCTACCCACCTTCCCCCCGCAGGCCAGGCCGGTCGAGAATCACTGAAGAGAGAATAAGCCTTGCCGGGCAGGGCTATATAACAGTTTATTTTAAGGCACATTCTAAGGATTTCACCCTCACCTCCAAAATTAAAAAATAGAATCTCTAGAAAATAAGAGCTTCATCTTCCCCATCCCACCCAGTCTTCTAAGTAAAGCGTTCTTTGGTCCCTTGATTCAAAGTTCTCTTTCTTTTCCATAAGCCACGACACCTGTGGAGCTGGTAAGCAGGAACAGATGAGACAAGGAGATCTCTTTGGTAACAGGTTGGCATTAAGGTGCCTGGTGGTCAGGTGACCTGCCTCAGGTTTGCAGGAGCTGGTAGTTCCTGTCTTGCTCCTGAGGGTACTTCCAGAAAAGCCAGAGGCGAATGAGGCTGGTGAAGATTCCTGGAAGGTTGGGCACCTGAAATCACAAAGGCGGCTAATGAGGCGAGGAGCTGCCTTTCCCCCTGGCACACCTGTCACCCCTTCCCAGTGCTGCGCACCATGATGTAGGGATCTCTGAGTCGAAACCCGTAGAGGGTCCAGGAGGCAGAGGTGAGGAGGGTGGCGATGGTGAGTGAGAAGGAGAGACGTTGGGTTGATTTAGTCTGAATGACTTTGGCCTGTGGGAGAGGATGAGACAGTTCGAGCCCAGACACAGAAAAGCTTCCACGTTGTCTAAGTTTCTTCCAAAGTCAAACATGCTACCTGGTCTTGTGACCCAGCCTTTCCCTCCTGCTCCCCACTCCCCACCTCTACCGAGCCTGACCCTTATCTCCCCCGCCACCTCCCTGGACACCTCACTCACCAAGTCGGCCAGTGGCGAGAGGTACATACTGATGGTGAAGACACTGCAGAAGAGGCCTAGCTGCTGAAGCCTGGCTTCGGTGTTGGGCACCAGGAACCAAAAGTAGCCAAAACCCAGGAGGAGGACCCCGAGCAGGGCTGCGGTCTGTAGGAGCACAGCATGCTGCCAGGGAGGGAACAGTCTTACTTCTGGATGGGCCAGGAGCCCTCTCTGCTGAAATTAATTCATCCTGCCCTCTCCCAGGCCACCGTGCACCCTTTGTCTAAGCCTCCAGTATTGCACCTGTCACAGCCTTTCCCCCAGCAGTGACTTCATCCACCCACAACACTGGAGGTTGCTCAGGAAGGGAAAAATACCTTTTTGTGAGCGTGGTATACACAGTAGGAGCTTAATAAATGCTTGCATGATTGAATAGGGAAGCAGAGCAGGTGGCCCTGGCTCTGGAGGAACTATGGAGACAAAAGCCCTTCCCTGCAGCTCGCTGGGCAGCAAGGCACCACTGGGCGGGCAGAGCTCCCAGCCTTGCCAGAAAAGGGGCTTGTGTGAGTCTCAGGGTGGTTTCATGCAGGGAGAACTGCAAGGCTGGAGGGGCCTTCCAGGAACACGTGGCAGTGCCAGCCTGTTGGTCTTCTAGGAAACAGTGTTTGTCCTGCCAGCGGGGCAGGGCGTGCAGCTGAGTGGGGGCGGGGGTGCAAGGGAGAGCGTCTACCTTCCGAGGGCAGTAGTGCAGATACGCCGAGATGTATAGGGTCTGAAGCACAGCACCCACGGCGTTCACGACGATTAGGGTCCCGTCTCCCTTCAGGGTGCCGTAGCTCAGCCAGCTTAGGTTGCTGCAGAGGAGGGGCAGTCGCCCGTGGGGGCGTGGGAGGGGGCCCCAAGTGGTCTCTGCCACGGTCCTCTCACCCTCCCCCACCTCCCTCGGACCGCCTTTCCCGCCGCAGTCGTCGCCCCTCTCACTTGACATCCGTGGTGAGAAAGGGCAGGAACTGGACATTGTCCACCCTCCGTGTCATTCGCATGTGCCTGAGGTCCGAGCTGTAACGGGGCCCCGAAGGCGGGAGTGAGAGGGGAGGGGAGAACCAGGCTGCTGGCGAGTCGAGATCCCCAATGCCGTCATCCTCCGGGACGACTGCAGACCCCCGGCCCCTCCCTCAGCTCCCTTGCCTTCAGGTCAAGTGACCAGCCCCGCCCTGGCATCCCGACCCCTCCGACCCGGTTCCACTTTGACCCCAGGTTCCGGATGCAGCCTGGGGCCGCGGCCACGTCTCCGTCCCCTCCGGCTCCTTCCTGACTCCCCGGGCCTGCCCCAGCCCTCCGCGCGCGCTCTCACAGGCCGGTGGAGAACATGCCGAGGGTGAAGAGCACGCAGGCCCCGGAGAGCAGCGCGTCCGCCACGCCGCCCGCATCCATTCCTCCCCAAGCCGGCTCCCGCGCTCGGCGCCGCCGGCAGGTTAGCGGGGTGCCGGCCCGCGACGTCGGAGCCCCGCCCCCCGCGCCCGGCCGGCCCCGCCCCCCGGAAACGACCGGAACCCGGCCGCGGACGTCAAGCCGGAACTCGCGTCCCGACCCTCCGGCCCGCCGCCGGCTCGCAGGGCTCCCGCGCCTGACGTTCCCCTCCCGGCCTCGTCCGGTCCCCTTCCCAGGGCTCCCCACTCTCTCCTTGGGTCACCTCGATCCCCAGCCTCAACTCTCTCCCACAGGCCTGCGGGCCTGCGCGGTGACTTCTAAACGAGCCAGCTGGACCCGACCGGACTGCTGCGCGCTCCCCATCCCGAGCGCCAGGCCGGAACCGCCGTGGCCCAGGGCTCGGGAGGTTCCCCCCATTTTGCCTTAGTCTCTCCCAGTCTCTCCCCTGAATAACAGGGTTTGCCAGGAACCTCCCGTGCCCGTCCCCTTCAGCCACACCGCCAACTTGGCGGGTCCACCGGAGCGAGCATCATTGACCCCCCTAGTCCAGCCCGACCTGCTGCTGGGAGCTTATCCTCCCGGCTTCCCACACGTCTGTAGGTGGTGCTGCGGGGCCGGCATCATGGCTCCGCCGACGTTGGAGGGCTGCCCTGACTCACCCGCGTGCCAGAGCCCAAAGCCCAGCGCTGCGAGCTTGGGACCGGGGCAGAGGTTGGACAGGAAGAACTTCCGGAGTGGGGGGCAGCCCTAGAACCCGAGAGATGGCGTGGGAACAACTGTGGGGGACTACAACCCTTGGGGGCAGGTATTCTTTCCAGAGGGAGGGGAAACAACTCAAACCCAGCCGCTACTGGTGTCGCACACAGCCTGGCACACAGAGACCCAATGGTCAAGTTAAGATGGAGAGGTGGAGACGCAGGTCCAAAAAAACAAACATATTGTTATATTCTGAGACAAAGAACATTGTATAAAAAAACTCCAGTTGTATAAATCAGTAGACACACCACAAGTGTATATACAGATTCTGTACACGTGGGCCCTGCCCTTCAGGCTACACTCCAGGCACAGACTGGACACATGGGCGGTGCCCTTATGGCTCCACTGGAAGTAAACAGGTTGGCACAGCCCCCCTGCTGGCGCCGGTCTGGCAGTGTTGCCCCAGGATGGGAGAGGGCGCAGAGGCTGGCCCGGACCTCGCCAGGGCAGCTGCACAGGTGGAAGGCGCTGGGTCGGCCCCAAGCATCCTGCCCCTCCGGCCCCTGGCTCTCAGGCAGGAAACTGTCTCTAGCTTTTCGCTCTTCCTTCGGTCAGTTCGTCAGGGATCCCGGCTCTCTGGGAGGTGCGTCTTTTCCCAGCTCGGCATCCACGGTGTGACTCTGACTCCTCCCAGCTCCGCTCCCACAGAGCCGTTCTGAGCGTCCATGTCTGCACAGCTTGTTTCTTTGGCTTAAGGGCAGGGATGGCTCTGCCTGGCCTGCTGACTTCCTCCTTTGGGTTGAAACCCCTAATACTGACCCGTTTTGAGGCTGCTGGGTGGCAGCTTGTGCGTGTGGTGGGAGTGGTTCCCAGGACTGGGGCTTCGGGAGGGACACTGGGACAGGTGAGGGTGGCCGCCTCTGCCTCCTGAGCCCAGTTCCAATCCTTAGGCTGGAAGTGGCGCTCACCGTCACGGGGTTTGCAGCAGCAGGAAAGGCAGGAGCAGCACAGCCCAGACGAGTGGGAAGAGGCGGGGGGCCGCACTGTGCCCAACGCTGTGGAGGACCTGCACCTCCGGGTCGTCTGCAAGGCGAAGGGCAAAGGCTTCCGGTGAGCGGACCCATGACCAGCACTGGCCCGCAGCCCAAAGAGGTTTCCCTGGGCCCTGCTTGGCAAAGGAGGCACCCCTGTACCCAACCTCCCCTGGCACCCCCGACCTCCTTCTGTGCCCCAAGCCCGGTTTGCTCCAGCTACCTACCTGCTGGAAGTCGCTTCTCCTGTGGATTGGCGTGGGCCTGAGGACTGTGAGCTACAAGACAGGAGTGGCCGAGGGTCACGCAGTGTACCAGGGAGGCAGAGGGCTGGTGTGCTGGCTGGGCCGGGCAGTGAGACCTCCCCCCTCCCGCAGATCACTGGGCCAGGCCCAGCACAGGCATGGAGGCGAGGCCCACAGCGCCCTGACACTCACTGATTTTGCCACTGACGGTCACCTTCAACCTCAAGCACCTGTCTTCTTGGTGGTAGATGGGTTTGGCTGCAACACAAACCCACAGGGCGTTAAGGAAGAGACTTTTCTTGGAAGAAAACAGAAGCTCAAACGCCTGGGTCCTGCTCATCCTGCTCATCGTAATCCCCCCTCCCTGCTGCCCACTGCTTCTTACCTTCCTTGGGCGTCGCTGGGTGTTGCTTGCTTTCTGCCCCATGTCCAGACCAACCACCCTTCTTTGGAATAACTCTTGGCGTTGGAGATGGTGGTAAAAAGAATACAGCCCCCGTCCCCTCCCCACAGTCCCCCGGTCACTCCTCCCAGCCGGAGGTTGGGTGAGGCCTGCACAACATGCTCCCCTTACCCAGCCATTTCCTATGCCCCCTGCCTAGACCCCACCGACGGGGGAGGCTGCGGCTCTCCACTGCCCTCAGGGTCCATTCCAGACTCCGCAGCTCATCTTAGGCCCTGTGGTCTGCCCTGTCCACCCCTCAAGTTCGTATCTCCCCACTTCCAAGTGTCCCTCCTACTCTAGCCAGGCTGACCACATGGAGTTCCCCGAAGATGTGTTTCTTTCGCACATGTCCCCTCATTCACGGCCACCTCCTCTGCTTGTCCTAAGCTCTGGGAAGCCGGGAACCCTTCTCTGAGCCCCCCAGCCCGGCAGATACCCAGGTCATTTTACCAGGGCCCCGTGCTCATGTCTGCCACAGCGTGCTGTTCAAATGCTCTGTTAACCTACGTGTCTCTTCCCAGCCTCCTTGAGGACAGGGACGCTCTGTGGCTGTCATGCCGAGCAGAGTGCCCGGTACACAGTAGACGCTCACTGTACGTTTGTAACGTGAATGAATGAAACAGAAGCCAGGACTGGAAGGGGCCTCCTCTGCGGCCCGACGCCCCACTAAGCGGGCGTGCTGCGTGTGCCTCCCGCCAGCCGCATCCCCCGGCACGTGCACCTGCGTGCGTGTCCCTGGCACTCACAGATGTAGTAGTAGCTGTGTCCCTCTTTGAACTCCTTGCCCAGGGTAAAGGGCGTGAAGCGCTGGAACTTCTCAGACAGCTTCTCGGGGCCGTGCCTGGCGCTGGGCCGGTCGCACTGCCAGCGGACCTGGTTCTTGGACTGGGGCTGGCACAGCTGGTACTGCTCGCGCTCCACCAGGTACAGCGTGTACTGCTCCATGGCGGCGTCCGCCACAGAGGCAGGCTCGTAGTGCGGGCAGATGATGTCCAGGTAGTCGCCCAGGCGCACGTGCACCGTGTAGTCCTCGCTGCGGAACCTGGGCACGCAGGGGAGAAGCGTGGCCCCTCATTAGCCAGAGCCGTGGGCCTCCGGATATTTACGGGACCCCTCACATCGCACACCGGACCCCCACACAAAGGCGTTTCGACAGTCGCACCTCCCAGTGTTTACCGATCTCCAGCTCTTAAATATTTTCCCACCATCTCCAGCATCCCCACCATCACTGTCTCCCATAATCCTCTGGTACCCACTCGGCATCTCAGGCAACAGCATTTCCCATAATGCCCTGAGACTTACCTGAGGAGGGGCTTCTAAGTATGCCCTGAGCTCACTCATCATCCTCGCTGCCCATAAACATTTCCCCAAATCTGCTCTACGAGCCGCTCCTTTAAATGCGATGACATTTCAGCCTGAGACCCCGCCGGCCCCTTCCGTCATCAGGATCCAGGGGACCCCGTCTCTCCCCCAGGCGGCACCCAGCCCCAGCACAGCCGCATGCTCACCTCCCGTCCTCCCACTGCATCCCCGGCCCGCTGAGCATCTCGCATCTCTCAGCTTCACTGTCCCACAAACCCCCAGGACACGCGGGCCCAGAGGTAAGGCCAGGACCCTTTAACTCCCTCTCATCAGTGCATTCATTCCTTCAGATCTCTCCTCCTCGCTCTCAAAGCACCCCAAAACATCTCTGTCCCTTCATCTGCAAAAGCCACACATTCGCCTCCCCGGAGGTAAGCTCCAGACACGCTGCGGGTCTCAGATCTGAGGCTGCCTCTCCCCTCCCCTCCTCCTGAGGTGGAGCCAGCTCCCCTCCCCCCAGCCTGTTGCCCCCAGGCTCCACAGGCTCCAGCCTGACTGCCCACCGGCCCCTCCCCCCAGCTCCAGACACCTGGCTCCAGTCTGGGTGGGGTCCTGGTGTGTGTATGTGGTGGTGGTGGTGGGGGGAGTGCCTCCCCACCTCCCTCTCCAAGCTGGTCAGCTTCTCTGAATTCCCCGAGCACTGCCAGCTAGACACTCAGCAGAGTTGGCTGCCAACTCTCTGCAAACCAAAGCCCTGGGCATGGGGGTGGGGGGAGGGGCCGGAATTAGGCCAAGAGGCCTGAGGTGGGCACCCACTGCCCAGTCAGCAGGAGCCCTAAGAGACCTGGCCTTGCAACGGCATGCCAGCGCTCAAGCTGAGCTTACCAGGGCCCTCCCCCACCCTGGGGAAAGCGACAGTGAGAGAGAGACAGGGGGCGGGGGGAGGGAGAGAGGGAGAGGGAGAGGGAGGGAGGAGGGA